AGAATAATAAACCTCGAATTTAAATTATTTGTGTGAATACTGAAATTTGATTCATGCTATATGTCTCTGCAATATAAGAATTATTATCGAGGAAATATTTGTTAGAATCTTTTAAAATCGCCTTTTTTTATTAATCATTTTCACTTCATTAATGCTTTGCCTGCGCAGCACCGGGTAGGGCCTAGTACTTTAGCCTTTCTAGGTTTAATGCGAAGTCATAGACCGTATGACAGGTTAAGAGCTAGAGTACCGGAGGCTCGTCGGCAGACATGATATCGCGCCGATAATTACCGTCGAACGGAAACAACCTATAGGTAGGATAGGGAGCTGGCAATTGGTTGGAAAGGAATTAACCCATGTTTCGGCCATTCATCAGGGTACGGATTATATAATAGAGGGTTACCGGATACCCGGTGCTGCGCAGGCAAAGCATTAATGAAGTGACAATTATTAATAAAAAGAGGCGATTTTAAAAGATTCTAACAGATATTTCCTCGATAATAATTCTTATATTGCAGAGACATAGCACGAATCAAATTTCAGTATTCACACAAATAATTTAAATTCGAGGTTTATTATTCTGACGAAAATAGAATGTTATGGAATGTTCCTCGAGGCCACATTTTCTCCAACCGGCCACTCATTTTTTTATTTTTTTTATTTCTCTCGCCCCGCCTCAACCACTTTTACCCCACCCCTGCCACTTTCACTATTATTCCGCCCCTCCCCACCGTCACCTCAGGGCCGTAGCCTGTGGGGGCAAAGGGGCAGCTGCCCCGCTAGATTTTGGAGCAAAATTTAAAAATAAGCTTAGCTAATAATCGTAAATAACCCTAACGTGATTTTTTGGTCATTTATCCGGGCGTGAAAGCCTTGTCTCAGACCCACCCCTACCACACTATGGACGTCGATCAAGCGCTGCACCCGTCGCTCATTACACAGTTGAGTCATGAAATTTTGCCCCCCCCCCCACCCTAGGAATATGCTCAGCCTACGGCCCTGCACTTCTTCCGCCCGGGCTACATTCTCTCCATCACGCTCTCTCCGCCTGTCAATCTACTTATCTCTGTGTATGTGAAGCGACAGGTGCGCATAAGGTAACACGACAAATCTTGATGATAACTGTATTGCTAAGCGTCTATGGGGCGCCAAGTGTCGCATGACCGATTTCGTTAGGAAATCAATGATTTTGTAACGAAATCAAGTCTACAAAGTCATTTCGTTACGAAATCAACTACTGCGAGTGATTTCGTTACAAAATCAGCTACTGCGAGGGACTCCCGTCCCTATCAGCAACGGGAACCGTGTAAGGGTCTAAAGCGGAGAGTAGCAGGATGACAGGCTAGATGCCGGTGTCAACGACGTCGAGACCGGGCAGCCCCTGACCAGCGGCGAGCACTGATGTGGCTCAGAGTGTGTGGTCAAGGAGCCGTAGCTATGAGAGCGCGAGCGCTCCCAAAAGCGATGACTCGGGAATTAGCAGCGTACATGAAAAAGTGCGGCAGTCACGTAAACCATTATATAGGCATGCGCGTTGCCACAGTGACCAATCACAATGCGCGCAGCAGTTACTTCCTCATCGTTAACCAATCACCGTTGCGCTCCTAAAATAACACGCCCAGAGCGCGTCAAGAGCAAAAAGGACATTACTGCTCGAACTTACAATAGTTCTAAAGTGTTACATTGTAGTACGGCGCGGGTGCCTGCCGTCGACAATATTAATCCGGTCTATAAGAACTAATGGAGTCGTCAGTCAAAAGAAACCGCCGTAAATAACATACAGAAACAACATCAAAACGCGCATCTAAAGTCAGCGTAACATTCAGGTCCCTAGGTGTGTGCTGCGCCGAAAACATAAAAACTAACATACGCGAGGACGGCGGTGTGACACATCGGTCTTTAACAAACAACGAAACTGTCGGTAAGCACCAGCCAAACAAAACACACCTACATGCGCGCGCTGACGAATGGAGACTCATGCTGATAGCGGAACACGGGCACGCCTGCGACGCGAGCAGACGGTTACATGAGCGAATTAAGAAATGTACGTACAGGCTGCAACATACACGCCGGCGGTCAAAATGTAGGGTGATACTCCATTAGGAGTGTTCCTAACTTTAATGTCATATATATATATATATATATGGTCATGGTCATATATTAGTTTGTAGTTTAATGTCATTTAGGTGATGGTTAGGGTTAGGATTATCAATCATTAATCATTAATCATTAATGATATCAAAGTTGGGAACACTCCTAATGGAGCGTTAGCCTCGCTTACATTTTGGCTAACGCTCCATTAGGAGTGTTCCCAACTTTGATATCATTAATGATTAATGATTAATGATTGATAATCCTAACCCTAACCATCACCTAAATGACATTAAACTACAAACTAATATATGACCATGACCATATATATATATATATATATGACATTAAAGTTAGGAACACTCCTAATGGAGTATCACCCTACATTTTGACCGCCGGCGTGTATGTTGCAGCCTGTACGTACATTTCTTAATTCGCTCATGTAACCGTCTGCTCGCGTCGCAGGCGTGCCCGTGTTCCGCTATCAGCATGAGTCTCCATTCGTCAGCGCGCGCATGTATAGGTGTGTTTTGTTTGGCTGGTGCTTACCGACAGTTTCGTTGTTTGTTAAAGACCGATGTGTCACACCGCCGTCCTCGCGTATGTTAGTTTTTATGTTTTCGGCGCAGCACACACCTAGGGACCTGAATGTTACGCTGACTTTAGATGCGCGTTTTGATGTTGTTTCTGTATGTTATTTACGGCGGTTTCTTTTGACTGACGACTCCATTAGTTCTTATAGACCGGATTAATATTGTACGTGTCAGATTAGATCGTGTGTGCAGACGGCGCAGACTAGCTGTGCTGCTAGGCTGTCCGCTACAGTATCCAAACATTTAGTGTAGAGAGCCTATAGCCACGAGTAATTTGATATTAAAAAGCACTATCGTAATGTCTAACTAACGGTTAAATGCTCCCAATTGTCCCAAATTTAATATCGGGTGAGTTCTGCGGTCCCGCATGTCTAGTATTTGCCAACAGAAAAATGTTTTTATTAAAAATGTACATTAAAACTAGAGGAGATGTCCTCTCGATAGGTTACTATAAATATTTCTATTATAATAAACTACTTTAAAGCCGAAAGTAAACAGCAGATATTGATTGTAATTGTTGATATTTGTTATTACGGCAGAAAATCTGTCCATCAACAACAATCGGCTGTGTGCGTTGCCCCGAAAATACTAAACGTTTGTCTTCTGAAAATTGTCATTGAGATCCACCATGTTTGATATCTTAGACAAATGTTTTGTCTCAAGGTCAGAGAGTCGGATGTATGCATCCAAGACAAAAGACCGTTTCACCTCATTGATCAATCCAACGACTGATCACGAGATTTTCAAAATATACAAGAAGACTGCTGTTTGTGTTGAACGAAAGCAAAAACAAAGACAAAGTCTCTGTCGTGTTCCCCCGTCTCAGTTCAGATTCCCAGTCTTTCTGGATTTACAAATACTATATAGTGGGAATCTGTGTTAGTGCAAGTCAAGTATTTCCAAAACTAAATATATTTTTATTGAAATTAAACAAATTCGATAGTGAATACAAATGCGATAATCACGGGTGGGTTGATAAGAATTTGCCCATAGATATAAGATATAAATATATATCTAATATATATTTGAGTTCGTATGTATCTATGTATCTATGTATGTATGTATGTATGTATGTATGTATGTATCTTCCCTATAGGCGGCCAAACCGCCCAAGCGATCTGGATGGAATTTTCACAGGGCCATCTCTTATACCCGGGGAGTGTTCCTAGACGAAAAACAACTGTCAAACCGTCAAACTCACCGAAAAATCCGTAAAAAAACCGTCAATTCGTACACTGTACAGTGCTGCCACACAGAAAAATCGATGACTATTTCTTGCCATCGCTTCATCAGCTGTTGCTATTGTGAAACCGAAACCAGTACTAAAACAGAGCACAGCCAGGACCAGCTCAGAGGTTACGACTGCATTGTTTATCAAGAGGCTTTCAAATGAGAAGTGCAACTCATTCGTACATGCTGTTACGTGCCGTACGTGCCATACGTACATGCCGTACGTGGGCAGCTCAACAGTTCGAGACGCCAGGAATCTTTACATATTTCCACCAGAGAATAACACAAAAAACATTGTTTATCAAGAGGTTTTCAAATGAAAACTGCAACCCATTCGTACATGCTGTTATAATAACTTTTTCTCATTTACACCATATTACTATTATGTTCCAGGGGTTCTAAGTTGGGTTGTGCTGTCACATAAATGTCATACGTAACAGTTTTTTCCCCATGCTAAATTGTAAATATTCATATTCTGTGCAATGTTATTGTCGATTTTTACCCAATGTTCCTATTGTGTCCGATTATTAGTAGTATGAATTAGTAGCACGATTTTACCCAGCGCAGCGGGTACCCGCAGCTAGTAGGTTGATAAAAACAAAAACATATATGAATATATATAGGTTGATAAAAAATGTCTAGCGAAATGACTCACTTGAATAATTATGAGGCGCCTAATTTTTCTGAATTTCCCTATACTGCACGGAATCTTGATAAATGATATGGGGTTGTTCACCCTCTATGGTCAAATTGTTGTATTTAATTATTTTCTAATTTCTCATGCTTTTCTGTATGTAACTTATTGTAATGAAATAGCGCTGCGACGTTCATATCGATACTGAGATAAATGTGCACCGTGTCAAATTCCCATTATTTATGACAACGCACTAATAATGCATTTAAAATTAGACGCAATTAAAAAGGGTATAGTTGTTGTGTTTACTGCATTATTACGGCTCCAAGCAACTCCAGTATAAACAGTTTGTTACCAATGTTGTCATATCCTGCTATCTTGAACAATTTACTACACACGGCCACGTATTAAATAATGAAAGGTACAGATATTCACTTTTAAAATCATTCGGCAAAATTTATTCAAGTGTAACGACGAAAATATGGACATGCCTTATATAAACTTTTACTGACTGTCGAAATTAGATGGAAAATTAATTCATAACGTAATGGAAATATACCGCCTTATTACGCAAGCAATGGTCGGAACAGGGTATGCCACTAGCTTAGTCAAGGTGAGTCATGACCCAGTCGACGTATTTAGCGACTTCGGTGTAAACAGTTGGCTCCGATGGCTTCCCGCAGGATGTGCCCCAGGATACGATTCCGTGAATCGTCCACAGGCCGCTATCGTCGTTGGACACGGGTCCGCCGCTGTCTCCCTGCAAGCAGACGAATGGATAGTATGCGTTAGAGAAATCTGCCGCGACTAGATGGTGGCAGAAAACATTCACGTGCGTGACCGTTTGAATTACGAGATAAGCGCAAATATGCTACGAAATATGGCCTAGCTATACATTGCTCGGCCGGGTGTGTATGCCAAGTGGCTAAACAAGAACGTGAAAAAAGAAAATAACCCCTAAAGAAAGAACGTATACCTTGCAGGAATCGTGAACGCCCTCCTCATAGCCGACGCAAATCATGTTCTCTTTGAGACCTATGTAGTGCATCAGCGTGGAGGCCTTGCACTTATCCCAGTCGTAGACAGGAGCGTACATCTGCTTCAAAACATCCGATGGTGGAGAGTTGGGGTAGTCGTTAAAATCTGAAAGCAGAGATATATAGATATGCGTTTGTCTGCCGAGTCTGTATAGTAAGCATACATACACCGTCTATAGCACAGTTCCGCGGGACGGTGCGCAATTTTTCCGCAACTAGACATGTTTGCTCTGGCGGAATGTGCCGTTGGCTTCATTAGACTATAGCTGCGCACACAGATTACTGCCACATTGCAGCTTGGCAAATTAGAAGTACCAATCACCGTCAATTCTAATATAAACCTCTATTCCTTCTCTAGGTTTGTTATTTATGACATTATTATTGTATATGAAAGATGAATTAATTTCATAGGTGCATCCGCATAACGAAAAAAATAATAAGTGGATGGGAAATAACAGTGTGGTGGTTGAAATGCGAATGAAGATAACGGACATGGGTCAATTATACAAGCTAACAAAGCGAAAATAAGTAAAGATCATATTCCTAATCTACGTACCTTGAGTCGTTCCCCATCCTGATACGTAAACCATCGTGCCTGCTTCGATAGGTGTATTTTGCTCAGGTAGGCACATGAGAGAGACTTGATCGGTGAGAGTAAACGGAGGATCTACCTTTATCAACGCGATGTCATCTGAAAGGCTGTATATGATAAACGACATATATGTTAACAAGAGCGTAGTAAGTATATGCATACTTGATACGCTTTTGATGTTAATAATAATGCGGACAATGATGGTTTCGAAATTCGAATGCAATTTTTACGTCAACACTATTACGCCGAGCAATAGTGTCTACGTGCAGTCGTTCATACAGTCCACGTGTTTTTAGTGCGGAAATATGGTTCGTTGAGCCTCAATGTTGCGACGGATCTTACTCATTGCCAAGCATGCTGAACCCGGCGTGTTTGACAATCTTGACAGCCTGTCTTTTCTGCTCGAATGTGTCATCCTTAGATAGGTGGTGAGAGCCTGCATAGATCCTAACGTTCTCGGGTTTGTTGTAACCGGGCTGTAAGAAGCAGCAACGGAAATATATCGTTCAGCAGATGTTAGCTCACATCGGTTACATATATTGTCATACATACCTACTTGTCATGTAAATACATAATAAAATATGAATTTGTTATAATAGTTATTAATTGGAATACGTTTTTAGTAAGATGTGATTCTTCGTGGCCCTCATAATTGCTAAGTACATGTGTTTGCACACGCAAACGATGAGAAGCATTGTAAGACAGCGAATGAAATAACCATTACCATTGTCACACAGTGGGCTGCAGTCAGGATCCAGTTGTCTCTGATCAAAGTACCACCGCAGTAATGCGAATCTCTCACTGGAATGTATCGCAGCGACACCTGTGGGATGAAGGTTATAAGCGGCAAGATAGAAATATGTCACATCCATCACCAGCGTGCATAAATTTGACGATATTTGAAGAATGAAACGATTGTGAGTAATTATTTGAAATAGGAAAATATAATTATTACTGCTTCTGGCTACTAGCCATGATAATTTTTTGACGTTACAGGTTACGTTGACCAGTTATGCTATTGCGAGGCTCATATGTGTGGACCGCGTGCTCTCACACAATGGCCCGGGATGCACTCCGTTTACTTCCCGCTCGTAATCAGGAATTGAGTGAAATCTAACTATATCCGTAACTAAACCATGGTACATAGACGTGCTGCGGCGAACACTCTGCTATTTACCTGCCACGGCCAACTGTTCGGTATCGCTTCGGTTCCTCCCGTCACTCTACCGTTTCCCGGTATGTGCTCTATTGCCTTCACACCGCATGCTTGACGTTGGTTGAGAGCTTGACGTCGCAATAACGGAAGATTTTTCTATTATACGTCATTACTGTCACCTCAGTTGTAATCAGCCCAGAACTTTTAAGTTACGTTGCAAGTAACAGGACACTATATAATTATCAAACTATCATCGAATTATACTTACGCACGGCGAAGACCGCTCCTAGAAGACAAACGAATGAGACCAGCTTCAGCATGATGACTGCGTACACGTCCTAGCACCAAGAATGCACCGATGTCCACATGCATGCGGCTTTTATACGCTTCGGTCGTACCGATCGTGAGAACGCGACACGCTGCAGAGCGAGCCCTCGTGAATGAGCAGATGGTAGCATACCCGCAATAAGATGGCCTTCGCTCAATGTCGGTGCGTGTGAGATTACACCAAGTACTGGCGCACAAACATACAGCTATTGCAAAGCGTTACTACAATGTAAGAAAATATGAAAAAATTCGGTTTTTATTTACCCCTGATAATATTATCATGAACTTATATTTTATCTAGATAAATTATATAACTAGATTGCTATAATAACATCAGGAGTCTATCAATAGACTCCTGATAACATTAGTAGCAATGGGTTCCCAACCATTCACACACTCAGTGGTGTATAATGTGCACACACCTGTGCAATATATATGTATTGACTGTGGATGATGATGATGTTGTATGCCTGATATTATACAGGCAAGTTTGTATATAGCTCATCTAGTATGTCCATATTTATTAGTTAAACTGTTAGGATATAGTATATTGGTATAATATATTGTTATATATGTGACCGCGGAGAGATCAATTGAGACCCTCTGTAAGCACGCACGCATAGGCCCAAACGACGCAATAAACATTATTACTATCATCAGGAGCTATCATGTTTGTTCATCGTGCGCCTATAAAGCAAGATTAGATAAATGTAGGTACAAGGTGGGCTATTTCACACCGAACCACTGACGTTATCACCTAAGAGAAATTTACATTTCGAGCCACGTGACATAAATTGTTATAAATAGGAAAAAAAACAGATTTCGTGACCAGGAGCTACGACTTGTGTGCTATATGTGTTCACAACGCGGACGCATAATTTTGTAACGGGGGTAGGTGTAGGGCATAAAATTAATGCCGGTCAATCCGCCATGGCTAATGAAATTATGCTTGGGTAAGTATAAAAGTTGGATAATCTATCCCTCCCAATGCACATAGGCCGCCCTGCCTATAATGGCCCGTCGTTTGACCAAGAGTACACTTCCAGGTTGAGTGGGAAAATTTATATTGATGACGTGCCGGTATTGTTCACTAAAGGCGCGGAGGTGTTGGGGTGTCACTCGAATTATTCTTCTATAATTCGCGAAAATGAGCACCTCCGGCCCCCAGCGCCACTCCTCGGCAGCCATGTTTAATTCCACATGGCTATAGCCCGGAGCACGGACGCAGCAGCCGATCGTTATCGCCGCATCATTACTATACGTATACTCTACCTAGCCAGGATGTAGCCACGCGACCGATTACTTACTTACTTACTAACTTTTCATATTCGCCCAATATTATCGCCTACGTGTAACGAGTGCTGAATAAATGTTGCTCAGATGGTGATTATGGTCACTATACACACCCTGTACAGACTGCAAATTTGATCCTACACCCAACTAGTCCGCGCCAGGTGCGTGCCAAATTTGTGCAGTGTACACGCTATCCCGAGCTAAATACGCGCTAGACCGGACGCGAAATTTTTTTCCCACTTGAGTTCCGGACCCACCATAGATAGTGTTTTGTAATATATGGTTCGTATATATATATATGGTTGGATTATAGTTAGTGTTAGGGTTCGGTTACTATGGGGCGCCAAGTGTCGCCTGACTTGATTTCGTTACGAAGTCATTCTACAAAGTAATTTCGTTACGAAATCAACTACTGCGAGTCATTTCGTTACGAAATCAGCTACTGCGAGTGATTTCGTGACGAAATCAAGTCTACAAAGTCATTTCGTTACGAAATCAACTACTGCGAGTCATTTCGTTACGAAATCAGCTACTGCGAGTGATTTCGTGACGAAATCAGCTACTGCGAGTTATTTCGTTACGAAATCATGCTACACTTGGCGCGCCTTGATTTCGTTACAAAATTATTGATTTCGTAATGAAATCAAGTCTACAAAGTCATTTCGTTACGAAATCAACTACTGCGAGTCATTTCGTTACAAAATCAGCTACTGCGAGTGATTTCGTGACGAAATCAGCTACTGCGAGTTATTTCGTTACGAAATCAATGATTTTGTAACGAAATCTATGGGTACAAAGTGTAGCATGACTGATTTCGTTACGAAATCAATGATTTTGTAACGAAATCTATGGGTCGCAAAGTGTAGCATGGTGGTACGTGCGTGTACCCGCATTCCCGTGCGTGTACGTGCATGTACCTGTGTGTACGTGCGTGTACCCGCGTGTACGTGCGTGTACCCGCATGCACGTGCGTGTACCCGAGTGTACGTGCGTGTACCCGCGTGTACGTGCGTGTATCTCCGTGTACGTGCGTGTATCTCCGTGTACGTGCGTGTATCTCCGTGTACGTGCGTGTACCCGCGTGCACGTGCGTGTATCTCCGTGTACGTGCGTGTACCCGCGTGTACGTGCGTGTACCCGCATGTACCTGCGTGTACGTGCGTGTACCCGCGTGTACGTGCGTGTACCCGCGTGTACGTGCGTGTACCCACATACAACACAACAATGCACACACACACACGCACACACGCACACACGCACACACGCACACACACACACACACACACACACAACCACGCAAAAACGCACACGCGCACAGATACACACACATACTACGCACGCACGCCCCCCCACCCCAAATACAGCGACACAACCACGCAAAAACGCATACCCCGCACGTGCGCACGCACGCGCGCACACACTATGTGACGAATTACATGAACGTATATTGATAATGGTTACAGTGACGAATTACATGAACGTATATTGATAATGGTTACAGTGACGAATAACATGAACGTATATTGATAATGGTTACAGTGACGAATAACATGAACGCATATTGATAATGGTTACAGTGACGAATAACATGAACGCGAATAGGAATTGAGTTGATACATTGATACACCGAATACATTGATTTCGGTTATGGTGACGAATAACATGAACGTATGCTAAGCTATGCTAGCGGATCGACGTGCGAATATGTTCGTGATTGTTTTGGGTATTGTCGTATTATTCCTATATGGTGTCACGTCTGCTAATAACGATAAACTATGCCGTATATGTTTCATGATTTTCAACTGACAGCGCTCTCTGTATGCCAACTACCGAATCCATTTGAAGACAACCCCAGTAGTCGCCAGTAGGTCTACCATTATGAGACAATGCCATTTGCCACTTACAACCTGACATACTGCGACATCTGTTTGCTAGATGTATTGTTATATTTACGCGGAAATAAGAACATGTCGACCGATAAATGATAGGTTGATGACTTCGCTTTGGTCTTTTTACTACATTGACAGACATACGTAACATTTAATCAAGAGTGAAGAAAATTTGTTTTATTCACTCCTGGTCAAATTGTAAGATAACACAACTTAAATTAAGGTAAGGTTAACGAAATTTTATTCCAAGTTTTGCTTGCGTTTTTCAATTGAAATGTACGCGTATTCTGAAAGGATGGGCCGCAAAGATCGCGAACAAAGTGAAAAGTGTGCGCCTGCTACTTGCTTGTAAAACAAAGTATAGACAGTCACGTACTATTCACTAGTCACGTCATCGTAATTTCTGAGGATTCTATTATGTGTACGTATTCTCTCCTGTGGTTGATGTAGAATTATGTGATATATATATATATATATATCATATATATTAATAGACGCATATCAGTAACCATGCAGGAACCTTGTGCCGCGGTCTAGTGCATAATTAATTGACACCATCTAAAACGCCCCTACATACATATATTCACGAACTCACACACGCAAGCACGCACGCGCGCATGGAATTACACACCTACGCATGCACGCAGGCAGGCACCCACGCACGCACACACGCACGTACGCACGCACGCACGCGCGCATGGAATTACACACCTACGCATGCACGCAGGCAGGCACCCACGCACGCACACACGCACGTACGCACGCACGCACGCGCGCATGGAATTACACACCTACGCATGCACGCAGGCAGGCACCCACGCACGCACCCACGCACGTACGCACGCACGCACGCGCGCATGCACGCACACGCGCGCACGCACGCACGCACGCGCGCACACACACACACACACACACACACACACACACACACACACACACACACACACACACATACGCACACAC